CCACCGGGCAGCGCCCCACCTGCTCTACCACAGGCCCCGGGCTTTGCTCTACGTCTCCCTGGTCCAGCTGATCTGGAAGCGGCCGCGGGTCCAGCCCCGGCTCCTGCCCACTTTGCTCCCCGTCTCCCTGGTCTGCTGGCTCCCGCAGCACACCAGGGAGATGGGGAGCAGCTTTTCTCGCCCCAGAGGAGGCGGGCGGTGGGACCAGGCGTCCCGCCGCTCGAGTCCTCCGGGGCAAGAAAATCCCTGTTCGTAACTGCGGATCCGACATAAGTCGGATCCGCGTAACTCAGGGACTACCTGTATTGTGATTACTTCAATGTAGGCAATTTGAAAATGCTACTAATAGTGACATTAATTAATAAATGGCTGGCTACATCAACCTGGTAAGTGATCTATGTTACATTACTACTTTATTCATAAGAATAACATGACTAAAGTCGACATAGCTGGATCTACTCTCCCATCAATTTAGCATGTCTTCAGAAGACCTGCTAAATATACACTGTTGCTTTGATTGCAGCAGTACCAGTTTAGTTGGTAGACATGGCCAAAGAGTTAGATATGACACTTAGTATTCATCATATTTCGTATCATTATTCTTGTTCTGCAGTGTTGAATTCAACGTTTTTATTCCAAATGTCTCCATTTTTTGTGGGGTTTTCTTATTGTGTCAATGAAACATGTTTTTGATTCTCATTAAAGGAGTAGCCACCAACTTCATCCATGAAGTTTCTTAAGGAAATCTGAAGCATGTAACAGTGTTTCTAAATTGAAAAATTAGGTACATGTTCAGTTCATCAAAGGGCTCGTTAGCTAAAGGGTTAGGGTTAGGGTTAGTAACCCTAACAGAACAATAACAGAACACAGACCAGTATAATGCTTAGTCTGTTAATTTTTGTGGCAGAATTGCCACAGAGTTAAATTAGACTTTCGTACCTCTTCATACCCCTTTTTAATAAATGAATGTTATGATTATGAAAGATATTAGAATGTCCATGCATGCATCTCCATTGCTGCGGCAGTGATGTGCCTCAGGTATGCTCTGGAGGCACCATTGCAAATGGATGAGAAGTCCAGACCAATCAGTCCTTGATCTGTGTACCACAGTTGCAACGGTGGTGTTGACAGATCTTCAAGAGTGACTATAGTGAAGAACACAAATTACTTTCATGTAAGTCGTTAAGTCAGTAATCTGAGACTTGTATGTCACTACCAATTTCCTGAGCCAATAATTTTCAAACTGTAGTCCATGGATCATAGGAGGTTCACGGAGAACTGGTTGGTTACATGGTGATGGCTGATCTCATTTCCAACTACTAAATGCTAAATACTTTTAAAATGTCCCCTCTTCAGTATAAACAATTATTGTAAGTATCACAGGTGTGTTGTGTGATCAAACATAGGAGAGGAGAAGGTTCATGTTATGGAAATAGCAATGGATGGTGGTCAGCATGACTGTTGCCCTATTATATAATGATGCAGATTGAAAAAAAAATCCTGCCGTGTTAAACATTTTCAAAAGAAAATACTTGTTTTTCATTCTGTTGACACACAACAATGACCCAGACCTTGGTCATACTACTCAGATTATCATGGAGAGGAAATAATCTTATTGATAACATCATATTGATTCAGATAAAATGCTTCACAAGAAAAAACTGATAGGAAAATTCAATCAAAATGTAGACAAATAGCTTGTATACAAACACATTTACAAGGAAACACACAGTTTTGATTTATACTTGTCAATAGAGTATCAGGGATTTTCCTCAGGCAGAATTAGTGTGCAACATGTCATGCAATGCTCTTTCTGTCCTCCCCCCCCCCCCCCAATTGGGCTAAATATATCTCTGGCATGTATTTTCCCCTTTTCTATTTTTCTGTAATATTTGTATTGGAAAGGTGTTAAAGTTGTGCAGACTAGATTGGAGAAAAGGACCAACTCTCTATCTTCACTCAAAATTTGAACTTGCCCCACCCCCAAAAAATCTTGAGATCTAAAGACATTTGTGTAACACCCCCATTTTTTAATTTCAAGTTTTTATTTTCACATTGTCCTTACTGGGGCTAGGATTTGAATCAAAAGTGGTAAAATACCTCAAGAAAAAACTTCCTTGCTGTGACTGTGTTTTGAATGAGTTCGAGAAGTATAAGTAACTTCACACTTCAAGTTTCTTTTCAGACAAGTTTTGCTGCATTAAATTTTTAAATATACATTTAAATACTAGTATATTTATCCAAACTGAACTTTTGAATTTCTTTTGAGAATCATCCATCATTAGGAGTTATATGGTGTGCTGGAATGATGAGCATACGTTTTTCAAGGTACTCATATGGCCTGCATTACCGTATTATCTTAGCACTGCACAGTCTTTATCTTTACAACACCTGTCAAATTGTGAAGATAATATGGTAGCCATTTAACAGATGAAGGGAATTGAAGCATAACGGAGAGATTAAGTGATTAGCTCAGGATCACACAGGAAGCTAGTGATGAAGCACGAGAATGAATTTACCATATATACTTGATCATAAGATCATTCATAAGCCAACCTTCCAAGTAAAAAAAAAATGTTAAAATAGCAATTACCCATTCATAAGCTAACTCTGTATGGGCAGTTGACAAACTTCCAGTCCCAGTGTAAGTTACTGACACATCAGCGTAAGTTACTGGCACATCAAGACATTTTATGTACCTAGAGCGTCTGCAGGCACAGAGCTTCTCAGCTCCCATTGGCTGCTGTTCGCGTTCCCAGCCAATGGGAGCAGGGGGAAACAGCCTAGGCCAAGAGATGTGCTGTCTGCCACTTCCTGCCACTCCTATTGACCCAGAATGGCAAACAGCAACCACTGGGAATGGAGGGGCTCTGGGCCTGTGGATAATCCAGGTACATAAAATGTCCTGGCACACCAGCAGTTTGGCCTGCTGGGCTGGGAAATGAAATTTGCCAAGCCCCCTCAGTTAAAAAAAAATGTTAAAATACACTGTCCCATTCATGAGCAAACCCCTGCTCTTTCCTGCATCATTTTTTACAAAAAAAATTAGGCTTATGATCAAGTATATATGGTAGATATTCTTAGGCCCAGGCCAGGGTCACAATCACTTGGAGTGTCATGAATGGGAGCTGCAAAGGAGAGCCTAACATACCTGGAGAGCGAGTAAAGGGTTAAGTTAACCTTAAGCTATTCTGCTCCTGAGGGAGGGGGCTTTAGGCATTGAACCAATGAAATGCAGCTAAAGAATTTCATATAGGGGAAGCAGTCTCCTTTGTTAAAGAGAGATAGATGGGAATCTTCTACAGGCATGGAGGGAAGAAATGAACTCCCCCAAAACAGATGCCCTGAGTTCATCTGAATGTGTGAGTAGGAAAAAGTTTAAGTAATCTGTCAGGTTTATTGTTTTCCTTATTTGGGGTTTGGAAATTATGTCTGAGCTGGTTAATTGTCTTTTTCTCTCTCTCTTTTAACCAAGAATTAATCCCAGGGAGAATCCCTGAGTTTTATTTCAGTTCATGGCTTTTTAACACCAAGTCATTTACTATGTTTACAACAATAGTCTTGTTTTAATAATAAAAGTGTTTCCTTTTTTTTGTTCTGTTAACTGCTATTGGTTGATCTTTTGTGTCTTCAAACTTAAGTGACTGGCTGCAGACATGTTACCGGAGACAGAGCATATAGGTTCATTGTTCTCTGAGTGTTCTTGTTTGTTTTCCAACTCCATGGTTTGGGGTTTTTTGCCTTCCGGGAAGAAATTTCAAATGATTTCTTTCCTGGAAAAAGGGGGTACATTTGGTGGTGGCAATACTACTAGATTTCAGGAGAAACTGAAATCAGGAACTTTTTTTTTTCTCTGAGAACTGCAAAGGCAGAATCTGAGAGGTTTTTTATTTTCCTAGCTGTCCCCCATTACCTTCACTCAAAAGTGCAAGGTTGGGGATTTCAGCCATGACAGGGACAAATGAGAGATACAGTGAGATGGCATCCTATTTCCAATAAATACCTTTCTATATATATAAAAAAGTTTTTCCTGCAGGATGATAGAGTGATATAACCCACAGAGCCTCCCCCCTCAGCTGCCCTGCCTTCTTCCTTCTTCCCTCCTCCTCCCTACTAAAGCAGCAGGGATCTTCAACCTATGGCTCCCAAGCAGCAGTAGCATTGAAGATAAGCAACTGCTGCTGGTGGACTTATGGGTGCACTGGAAAATTGTGCTGCTCTGGTGGTGGTGATGGGGGGGAGAAGCGGTGGAAGGGCAGAAGGGGCCACAGGAGAGGCCTGCTGAGGAGGTGGCTGGGACTGGGGGACTCCCTCCCACTATGGATCTCCCTCTCCCCACCGCCAGAGCACCTCACTTGAAAACTCTGGCAGCTGCCATATGGGGGGTGGCAGTCAGAGTTTTAAATTATGATCATCCGGTCTGGGCCTTGCCCTCTCTTTCTTGGCAGGGGACAGAGTACAGGGCCCAGGGAGAGTGCAGGACCTGGTGAGGGGCCTGGGTCCTGGCCCCCTTCCTACCAGTGTCCAGGGGTAGAGTATGGGGCCTGGGGAGAGCATGGGGCTCAGCAAGGGGCCTGAACCTTGCTCTGCCTCCCTCCTGGTGGCCTGGACAGGAGAGAGTGTGGGGCCTGGGCCCTACCCCCCTCCCAACTGGCAGCTGGGGAGAAGAGCACAGGGAAAGCACACTGGGGGGAAGAGCACGGGGCTTGGCGCTGCTGGAGAAGGGGGTGAGGGACAGCTGGGCCAGGAGTGTGCAGGAGGGGGGACTGCAAGCCATGAGACTTCCCCCCATTGCAGGGAAGAGCTGGAGCAACAAGGTCTCGCGAGCCGCATGCCCTCCTCCCTTACGGCCAGGGGGAAGAGCACCTCTGGCCGGCCCAACCCCCCAGTGGCTGGAGGGGCGGAGAGCTGGGGCTGATATGGCTTAAGGGGGGGCCCAGTGGCCAGAGGAAGAGAGCCAGGGCAAGCCAGGACTGCCACACCTCAGCCTGGCACTCCCCGGAGGCCGGGGGCGGAGAGCCGGGTTGCCTGCCCCCAGGTAGGGGGGTTCACACGTGTAGCGAACGGGGCATAGTTTCTTCCTCAAGTGATTTTTTTCGTACTTGCTATAACCACAGTTCATTAATATTAATAATGCGAAGGATGGAGTAGTGCAAACATGAACTCATAAAAATAAACATATAATCCACCTTAGCACAAAGACTAAGAATCTCAACTGGCATAACTCTACTGAAGGGGCTATGTTGATTTACATCCTCTGAGGATCTGACCCAAGATATTTAGAAACAAACTGGCAGTTTTAGTAAGGTGGGGACTGCAGTGATATTGAGAGAGAAGTTGGGCCCAAGTAGCAGCATTGAGCCCCTCAGTCAATTTCAGGAGGCACAGTTGGACTAAGAGTAAGTGGATTGTGGAACAGCCACCCTGCATGCTATCATCGCTCAGCAATTATTGTACAACTTAGATGTTAAGTTTAACGATGATTAAAACAGCCTTATCTGACACAGATTCCTATAATCTGAGCTTCTGCTGCTTCTGGGGATGGGACAAAAGAGCTCTCCCTTATAGGTTTGTGCCTTGATGGCTCCTCCATCCCATATAATCCCCAAGGTTTGAGTATCTCTGCAGGTTGTGCGCTTCAGATTTATGTATTAGTCATGACATCCATATGGATGCACAGCCATGCTCCCATCTCCTCCACAATATTATTAAAGGAGTCTCCGGGGCCAAATGACTTATTATTAGGGTTGTTGAATTTTTCTGCATAATTCTGACCATTCCATGGGTTATTTGGGAGGTTAGATCCAGAAAGCAAACCAGGGAAAATTTTCCTAACATAAGAATCAAAATCATCTTAATACCGTATACACACAATCCAGGATTAAGTTTCATCAGTGAACAATTGAGTACATGAATTTGATTAAAAGAAAATCCATTTCAAATTATATGTCTATAAACAATAAGATAAAGCATTATTCAGATTACATTGTGATAGTCTATCAAAATGTACCATACTTTAATCAATAGAAGTGGATGACAAATGTTTTCTATAGATTAAAGGAACTGCAATTGTTGGACTGAAGTTAATTATGTCTTCAGGTATGCTTCCAGCAGTCCTGGTAACATCAGCTGGAATTATACCTATCTGATGTAGGCCAGAATTTGGCTCTGAGACTGTGTGTGTCTGTCTTTCTGACTGTTCCTGAATGCTATTCCTCTCTGTATTTCTCCCTCCCCCAACTCCCTTTGACTGTTCCTAAATGGTGTCCCTTGATGTCCCCATCTGTGATTCAGTCTGATTTTTATTCATGTATAACTTGGCTAATGCAAATGTTGATCTCTTCTTTTTTAACTATTCTGTATGGGTTATGCAAATGGACAGCCCATACAAAAAAAAGAGATGTGGGGGTAGAATTCGGAATTCTTTATTCTTACATTCTCTTTTGTTGGCTTCTATGCTGATTCAGGATGAATAGAGAGATGACCAATGCAAAGTCAATTAAAATGAAATATTTTAGCATTTGTAGATTTCCTTTTTTAATTTTTAAAGGAGAAGCATATTCAATCATGCAAGCTGTCTGAACAAACAGCTTAATGTAAAATCATACACAGAACTTTCTTCGGGCTTTTTAATGGACAGCCCTCGTTCTGTGAATATTCCTTAATTATGTGAAAATCTCATTAACATTGATAGGTCTAATTATAAGAGCATGTACTGCACACATGAGCTAGGACTGCAAGATCAGACCAGTAACTATGTACTTGATCTAAAGCCCATTGAAGTCGATAGTAAAACTGACACTGATCAAGAATACATCCTAATAGATCATTCTTCATTTATTAGTGAGTCACTAATTGTAACTGTTTTTCATGTTCTTCTTCTGGGTCATTTCATTTATTTTCATCTTGTGTATATTCTTTTAAGAAACTTTTAATTTCCCCTGGCTCCTCTGAGAAGCAGATTTTATTGTTATGTCTCCAATTTGTGCAGGATGCAAGATTGCCATTTGTCAGCTAAAAGCAGCCCCACAGCCAATAAACCGCTTTTAGCAGCTGTGCACAAATCAGAAAACTTGTACATCCTCTTGTAGTGTAAATAAGTGTCTTTGCACGCACTCTTCCCCTGAGTATAGAACACATATTTTCTCTTTCCTAGAAATATTGAAAAAATCGTAAACATGGGCACAACTGAGCAATAACCACTTTTATTCCTACCCCCAGGTGTCTGAAATAAATTTTGGTTGTTTATTGGAAACAAATTGATATGGTTTATTAATTATAGAAATATTTCTGCTGTGGGGTACTTCCTGGAGTAAGTGTGAAGTAAATGGGAGAGTCCTCTCTGCATTCTATGTGAAAGTTCTATGGCTTGAATAATTTAGGTGAAATTTAGAAGAAATGCAAAGGGTGATATACATTGTTTAGATTCCATAGTGCTCTTAGAATCACTACTTTCACCAGCTCTGCTGTTCCGTAAGAAGCTTAATTGGTATGACTTATATCCTGAGGAGCCAGAAAAACAGTCCCCACTCATCTTTAACTTACATCCTCTTGTACTTTCCACCCACTGCTATATATTTTTGTAGCCCTTCATTCTCATATGCCAATAGGATATTTTTAGAAGATTCTTCTTCTTTTCCCCAGCCTTTGAAGTTTCAACTACATTCAACAGTCCTAGTTGTTTTGGAGCCACCATAGCTGCTGACATGATATCTTGGCACATAAGAACATGTTCCATGCCAACATGAAGAAGTGAATCCAGGTCATTGGAGTGGGCAAGATGCTTTGCTGGTGACGGATGTTGCTAAGGCAGCCCCTAGAGGAGGTCTTGAACAGGCTGAATGACCTCTTTTAAAACTGAGGTTATGTCTACACTGTGATTTTTTTTTTTTGCAGAAGAAGATATGCAAATGGAACTCTCATTTGCATATCTTCTTCCGATTCTTTTTGAGGAAGAGTTTTTTGCCGCTAAAAAGCACTGTGTAGACAGGGCCATTTGTCGAAAAAAACCCCCCTTTTTTGCAAGATCCTGTAAACCTTGATTTTTGAGGAATAAGGGATTTTGTGAAAAAGGGTTTTTTTCCCCAAGAATGACCCTGTCTACACGGGGCTTTTTAGCGGCAAAACCTCTTCCACAAAAAGATTTGGAAGAAAATATGCAAATGAGTGTTCTGTTTCCATATCCTCTTCTGCAAAAAAAATGCAGTGTAGACATAGCCTGAGTATCTCCAAGCCAAACCAAAGCTTTATTCACCATTCTAGCTATTTATATCCATCACCTCATATTCTCAGAAACTGACAAATTTATGGCCTCACGCTACTCTGAGGCACAAAGGGAATGGAAACCACACATATTTCCCTA